CCAGGTTATAATTACTGCTAAATTACTAATAAAAAAAAAAAAAACTACATTTTTTTTGTTATTTACATACATTAAATATACATACATACATATATGGGTCATATACATACTACATCATGTATTTAGTATACATAACTATACTTACATCTACAAATATCAATTATATACATTTAGTATATTTGGCTTTAATGCGTTTAATCATGTTTTTTTTTATTCTTCTTAAACAATTTTCATTATTTTTCTCTCTGTTTTTCTTTATGGTCAATTTAATATGTTTTATATTTGTATAAAACTGATTTGAAAAAAGGATTAACTCCATAGTTAAGAAATAAGTTAAATAAATACTGTATTTCAAGAAACAATGGAGTTAATCTTTTTTGCCATCTTAAACATTCCTTTAGTACTTGTCAAATATATTTTTAATTTTAAAATTAAATTTATTATTTATTAATATCCTTAGTACACTTGGTGTTGGTTTATGTTGTGCTTTTTCTTATAGTATTTGTATATATGTATATGTTTTTTTAATCTTTTAATATTTTCTATGTTTATAAATAAATAATTTGGTTGCATGCTGTTTACATGTTTGTATTAAAAAAAAACTGTCTTTATGTGTTTGTGTTTATTTTTGTTGTATATGTATTTCGTATTTTATTTATTTTTTTTTTTCATGAATTTATTTTGCACACATCTGTTATCCTTGTGTGATGATGTCCTTGTTAAACCCAACAACCAACCAAACACTTCACTCCAATCAAATAACCCATGAGCACAAAAGCAAACGCTTATTTTGTTTATTTTTTTTTAATTTACAATTGTAGCAAATATATAAATACACATACAAATCGTTTTAAGAGAAAAAGGACAGAATCTTATTTAGAAGTAAACAAATTTAATTATTTAATTAAAAAACAATTTTGTTATTCTTAAAGATAATTAGTTTATATTTAGTACAGTTGCTTGCCTTAAAGCAACTATTTCTGTGAAAAAGTTGCTTGTTTTAAGGCTTGTCAACTATGTCTTAAGGTCACTATTTCTAGAGAAAAGTTGCTTGTCTTAAGGCCAATATTTCTATAAAAAGTTGCTTGTCTTAAGGCTACTATTTCTGTAGAAAAGTTGCTTATCTTAAGGCAACTATTTCTATAGAATAGTTGTTTCTCTTAAGGAAACTATTTATATAGAAAAGTTGCTTGTCTTAAGGCAATAATTTCTATAGAAAAGTTGCTTGTCTTAAGGCAGATATTTCTACAAAAAAGTTGTTTGTCTTAAGGCAACTATTTCTATAGAAAATCTGCTTGTCTTAGGGCAACTATTTCTATAAAAAGTTGCTTGTCCTAAGGCTACTATTTCTGTAGAAAAGTTGCTTGTCTTTAGGCAACTATTTCTATAGAAATGTTTGCTTGTTTTATGGCAACTATTTCTATAAAAAAAGTTGCTTGTGGTAAACACAGTGTTAAGTCTTGAATATAGAACTATAGAAAAGTCTACAGTCTTGACTATAGAACTGTCTGTAGAGTTACCTATAGAATATAGTCCACAGTCTAGTCTAAAGTCTAGTCAATAGTCTAGTCTATAGTCTAATATATAGTCTAGTCTATAGTCTAGTCTATAGTCTAGTCTATAGTCTAGTCTATAGTCTAGTCTATAGACTAGACTATAGACTAGACTATAGACTAGACTATAGACTAGACTATAGACTAGACTATAGACTAGACTATAGACTAGACTATAGACTAGACTATAGACTAGACTATAGACTAGACTATAGACTATAGTCTAGTCTATAGCTAGTCTATAGTCTAGTCTATAGTCTAGTCTATAGTCTAGTCTATAGTCCAGTCTATAGTCTATAGTCTAGTCTATAGTCTAGTCTATAGTCTAGTCTATAGTCTAGTCTATAGTCTAGTCTATAGTCCAGTCTATAGTCTAGTCTATAGTCTAGTCTATAGTCTAGTCTATAGTCTAGTCTATAGTCTAGTCTATAGTCTAGTCTATAGTCTAGTCTATAGTCTAGTCTATAGTCTAGTCTATAGTCTAGTCTATAGTCTAGTCTATATCTAGTCTATAGTCTAGTCTATAGTCTAGTCTATAGTCTAGTCTATAGTCTAGTCTATAGTCTAGTCTATAGTCTAGTCTATAGTCTAGTCTATAGTCTAGTCTATAGTCTAGTCTAGTCGTCTAGTCTAGTCTATAGTCTAGTCTATAGTCTAGTCTATAGTCTAGTCTATAGTCTAGTCTATAGTCTAGTCTATAGTCTAGTCTATAGTCTAGTCTATAGTCTAGTCTATAGTCTAGTCTATAGTCTAGTCTATAGTCTAGTCTATAGTTTAGTCTATAGTCTAGTCTATCTATAGTCTAGTCTATAGTCTAGTCTATAGTCTAGTCTATAGTCTAGTCTATAGTCTAGTCTATAGTCTAGTCACTAGTCTAGTCTATAGTCTAGTCTATAGTCTAGTCTATAGTCTAGTCTTTAGACTAGTCTATAGTCTAGTCTATATACAAGTCTATAGTCCAGTCTATAGTCTTGTCTATAGTGTAGTCTATAGTATAGTCTATAGTCTAGTCTATAGTCTAGTCTATAGTCTAGTCTATAGTCTAGTCTATAGTCTAGTCTATAGTCTAGTCTATAGTCTAGTCTATAGTCTAGTCTATAGTCTAGTCTATAGTCTAGTCTATAGTCTAGTCTATAGTCTAGTCTATAGTCTAGTCTATAGTCTAGTCTATAGTCTAGTCTATAGTCTAGTCTATAGTCTAGTCTATAGTCTAGTCTATAGTCTAGTCTATAGTCTAGTCTATAGTCTAGTCTATAGTCTAGTCTAGTCTAGTCTATAGTCTAGTCTATAGTCTAGTCTATAGTCTAGTCTGTAGTCTAGTCTATAGTGTAGTCTAGTCTGTAGTCTAGTCTATAGTCTAGTCTATAGTCTAGTCTATAGTCTAGTCTATAGTCTAGTCTATAGTCTAGTCTATAGTCTAGTCTATAGTCTAGTCTATAGTCTAGTCTATAGTCTAGTCTATAGTCTAGTCTATAGTCTAGTCTATAGTCTAGTCTATAGTCTAGTCTATAGTCTAGTCTATAGTCTAGTCTACAGTCTATAGCCTAGGCTATTAGACTAATCTATAGTCTAGTCTATAGTCTAGTCTATAGTCTAGTCTATAGTCTAGTCTATAGTCTAGTCTATAGTCTAGTCTATAGTCTAGTCTATAGTCTAGTCTATAGTCTAGTCTATAGTCTAGTCTACAGTCTATAGCCTAGGCTATTAGACTAATCTATAGTCTAGTCTATAGTCTAGTCTATAGTCTAGTCTATAGTCTAGTCTATAGTCTAGTCTATAGTCTAGTCTATAGTCTAGTCTATAGTCTAGTCTATAGTCTAGTCTATAGTCTAGTCTAGTCTATAGTCTAGTCTATAGTCTAGTCTATAGTCTAGTCTATAGTCTAGTCTATAGTCTAGTCTATAGTCTAGTCTATAGTCTAGTCTATAGTCTAGTCTATAGTCTAGTCTATAGTCTAGTCTATAGTCTAGTCTTTAGACTAGTCTATAGTCTAGTCTATAGTATAGTCTATAGTCTAGTCTAAAGTCTAGTCTATAGTATAGTCTATAGTCTAGTCTATAGTCTAGTCTATAGTCTAGTCTATAGTCTAGTCTATAGTCTAGTCTATAGTCTAGTCTATAGTCTAGTCTATAGTCTAGTCTATAGTCTAGTCTATAGTCTAGTCTACAGTCTATAGCCTAGGCTATATTCTATAATCTTTTCTAAAAAAAAAATTTCTTGTTCTTAAACTATTTTTTCTATAGAATAACAACCTTAATAAAATAATAAAAAAAAATTAAATTTCTTTATAAGATTCATGTATTTTCTCTAATATTTTTTTGTCCAAATATTTTCTTATTTTTTGTGAATGTTTCGCGTAAATTTACAAAAACATTTGATCTTAAAATGTAATTAAATGCACACAAAATTTAAAAATTTTTTTACAGCACTAACACACTCACATACAAATTATTTTGCAATAATTTTCAAAAAACAAAAAAAAATATTTTAATCAAATTATTATATTCTTTTAACATTTTCTTTTATCTAATAAAATCCACCTATAGGTGCTCGTAAAGCTTCCGCTGGCGATGTAAGTGAACGTAAAGCCTTGCGTGATCGTCTTAAATGTAAATCTTTCCGCTGGTATTTGGAAAATATTTATCCGGAAAGTTTAATGCCCTTGGACTATTATTATTTGGGTGAAGTAAGTTTTTAAGTTAAAGAAATAGAAAACAAACTTGATTTTAATTGGATTTTTTTTTTATCTAGATACGCAATGCCGAAACGGAGACCTGTTTAGATACGATGGGCCGTAAATATGGTGAAAAGATTGGTGTAAGCTATTGTCACGGCTTGGGCGGTAATCAAGTGTTTGCCTATACCAAGCGACAACAAATCATGTCCGATGATTTGTGTTTAGATGCCTCTGCTGCTCTGGGGCCGGTGAATATGGTGCGTTGTCATAATATGGGTGGTAATCAGGAATGGGTATATGATGCAGAGGTAAATATAAATTACTTAAAGAAAGTCTTTGTTATAAATTATAAATAATTTTCTTGTTAATTCACAGGATAAATCCATACGACACACAAACACTGGCAATTGTTTGCAAAGACCCTCGCGCGAAGATCCCACAACACCTTTATTACGTCCTTGTGACTTTAGTCAGGGTCAACAATGGCTAATGGAATCGAAATTTAAATGGCAAGCTCATTAGTTGTAATTGTTATTGGAGTTTTATAAAACTTTAGTTAGTTTATTATTTTTTAGAAATTGTTTAAATTTTTTGATAAAAAAGAAAACAACAACATTTTGCCGTTTTGTATAAAATTTTATTTTTGGTTTTATTTTGATTTTTTCATTAGTTTTAGTTTGAAATTTTTTTCTTAAAAAAATTTATTTATTTAAAAGAAAAAATTCACTTTAAATAGAAAAGAAATTTTGTAACATTTAATAAAAAGGGATTTGAAATTTCAGTTATTTAATTAAAATCATTATTATTATTTTTTCTATAGAAATTAAAATTAATTAAAAGTATTTTTTATAATTTTCTTTTATTTACATATTTTTTTCAAATTCCTTTAGTTTGTATTTAAAACTTCTTTGAAAAAAAAAACATGATATTTAAGTATTTAGTTATTTAAATATATTATAATAATTATTTTTTGCTTAGATTTTTTTCTTTTTAAATTATGGTATTTTTTAATAATATATTATTTAATTTTTTTATTACTAATTTGCAAGAAAAATACCAAAACTATCACATTTTTGTTTTATTTTTATTTCATTTTAATATAAATTTTTACAAAAAGTCACTGACATTCTGTTTAAGCATTCTCTTTTTTTATATATAAATAAATTTATTTTTAATATAAACAAAAAAATAATGAAAAAAAGTAAGAAAAAAAGTAAAGAAAAACGTCTTCCCTAAATGATTTATTTTTAATTTTTTTTTATAAATTTAAAGCTAAAACTCTTGATTGTTTTAAAGAGTTTATAATAGTTTTTTTTTTTTTTTTGTTTAAAAGCGAAGTGTATAAAATAATTAAAACTAGTTTTAAATTCATTAATTAATAACAATTAATAAATAACTAAATCAATGATTGAAAAGAAAAAAACAAAAAATGTATTTCAAATAAAAATACAAACTTTGAGTTAAGAGATAAATAAACATTTTTTTTATTTGGATTTTCATTTTGGTGTCTTTTTTAGTTTTTATAATAACTTTTAACAGTCATGGAAAATTTAGACTATAGACTAGACTATAGACTAGATTATAGACTAGATTATAGACTAGACTATAGACTAGACTATAGACTAGACTATAGACTAGACTATAGACTAGACTATAGACTAGACTATAGACTAGACTATAGACTAGACTATAGACTAAACTATAGACAAGGTTTTAGACTATAGACTAGATTAAAGACTATAGACAGGGCTTTATACTGGACTATAGACTAGACTAAAGACTAGACTCTAGACTAGACTCTAGACTAAACTCTAGACTAGACTCTAGACTAGACTATAGACTACACCAAAAACTAAACTATAGACAAGGGTTTATACTATACTATAGACTAGAATAAAGACTTGACTAAAGACTTGACTCTAGACTAGACTATAGATTAGACTATAGACTAGATTATAGACTACATTATAGACTAGACTATAGACTAGAAGATAGACAAGACTATGAACTACACTAGGGACTAGACTATAGACCAGACTATTGACTATTCTATAGACTAGACTATAGACAGACTATATACTAGACTTTATACTAGATAATAGATTATACTATAGACTAGACTATGGACTAGACTATAGACTAGACTATAGACTAGACTTTAGACTAAACTGTAGACTAGACTATAGACTAGACTATAGACTAGGCTATAGATTAGACTATAGACTAGACTATAGACTAGACTATAGACTAGACTATATACTAGACTATAGACTAGACTATAGACTACACTGTAGACTACACTATAGACTACACTATGGACTACACTATAGACTACACTATAGACTACACTCTAGACTAGACTATAGACTAGAATATAGACTAAACTATAGACTAGACTATAGACTAGACTAAACTATAGACTAGACTATAGACTAGACTATAGACTAGACTATATACTAGACTATAGACTAGACTATAGACTAGACTATAGACTAGACTATAGACTAGACTATAGACTAGACTATAGACTAGACTATAGACTAGACTATAGACTAGACTATAGACTAGACTATAGACTAGACTATAGACTAGACTAGACTAGACTATAGACTAAACTATAGACTAGACTATAGACTAAACTATAGACTAGACTATGGACTAGACTATATACTAGACTGTTGTCTAGACTATAGACTAGACTATTGACTAGATTATAGACTATACTATAGACTAGACTATACACTATACTATAGACTAGACTATAGGCTAGACTATAGGCTACACTATAGACTAGACTATAGACAAGGCAACAGACTAGACTAGATAATAGTCTATAGTCTAGTTTATAGTTCTGTTTATAGTATAGTCTATAGTCCAGTCTATAGTGAAGTCGATAGTTTAGTCTATGTTTGTTAATAAACTATAGATTAGACTATAGACTAGACTATAGACTAGACTATAGACTAGACTATAGACTAGACTATAGACTGGACTATAGACTAGACTATAGACTAAACTATAGACTAGACTATGAACTAGACTATATACTATACTGTTGACTAGACTATAGACTAGACTCTATACTAGACTATAGACTAGACTATAGACTAGACTATAGACAAGACAATAGACTAAACTATAGACTAGATTATAGACTAGGCTATAGACTACACTATAGACTAAACTATAGACTAGACTATGAACTAGACTATGTACTATACTGTTGACTAGACTATAGACTAGACTATATACTAGACTATAGACTAGACTATAGACTAGACTATAGACTAGACTATAGACTAGACTATAGACTAGACTATAGACTAGACTATAGACTAGACTATAGACTAGACTATAGACTAGACTATAGACTAGACTATAGACTAAACTATAGACTAAACTATAGACTAGACTATGGACTAGACTATATACTAGACTGTTGACTAGACTATAGACTAGACTATTGACTAGATTATAGACTAGACTATAGACTAGACTATAGACTAGACTATAGACTAGACTATAGACTAGACTATAGGCTAGACTATAGGCTACACTATAGACTAGACTATAGACAAGGCAACAGACTAGACTAGATAATAGTCTATAGTCTAGTTTATAATCCTGTTTATAGTATAGTCTATAGTCCAGTCTATAGTGAAGTCGATAGTTTAGTCTATGTTTGTCAATAAACTATAGATTAGACTATAGACTAGACTATAGACTAGACTATAGACTAGACTATAGACTGGACTATAGACTAGACTATAGACTAAACTATAGACTAGACTATGAACTAGACTATATACTATACTGTTGACTAGACTATAGACTAGACTCTATACTAGACTATAGACTAGACTATAGACTAGACAATAGACTAAACTATAGGCTAGATTATAGACTAGGCTATAGACTACACTATAGACTAAAGTATAGACTAGACTATGAACTAGACTATATACTATACTGTTGACTAGACTATAGACTAGACTATATACTAGACTATAGACTAGACTATAGACTAGACTATAGACTAGACTATAGACTAGACTATAGACTAGACTATAGACTAGACTATAGACTAGATTATAGACTAGACTATATACTATACTTTAGGCTAGACTATAGACTACACTATAGACTAGACTGGAGACAAGACTATAGACTAGACTTTAGACAATAGACTAGACTATAGACTGCACTATGGACTAGATAATAGTCTATAGTCTAGTTTATAGTATAGTCTATAGTCCAGTCTATAGTTTTAGTCGATCGTTTAGTCTATGTTTGTTAATTTAATTTTTCCATGCCTGATTTTAAATATATTTTTTATAATTTTTCATTTAAAAAACTTCAAAATCAAGGAATTAACAGTTAATTATGTAGTTTGGATAATAATTATTATCAGATTCGAAATAATACGAGGGATTTTTGTTAAAAATCGACAAAACAGATTATTTGTTTGAAAAAATTAAATTTTCAGGACAGGTGTTTCATTTTTTTTTTTGTTAATTTTATTTTTTAACCAATTAAATTATAATTTTTAACCAATACACTTTACATAACAACAAATATCCTTTTCATTGTTAATATCATTAAAAAACAACAACAAAAAATAGGCATATCATAAGAATTTTCATATTAAAAAAACTTAAACATTATGATAAAAACAAAATATTTATTGTAAATAAACTAAATTTATTATAAAATTTAAAAGAAAAATCACAACATCTTAATCGCAACTAGAAATTGTAAACATTTGAAGTTAAATTATAGAAAAAAACATAAATGTAATAAATAAATTTGCAATTAAAAATTAAAAAATAAATAATGTCATTTAAAATTAAACAAAAATTTTCTAAATTAATTAATTTCAAGTGATAATTATTGTATTAATTTTAGTTGATTTTATTAATGGTGTCCAACCGTAACATAATTCCGTTGCCAACTTTTTGTTTCGAATTTTAATTAAAAATAAACCTCCAATTTTCTTAATTGCATTTAACCATAATATATTTTAAACAATAAACTTCTTTTTATTAAAACACTAAATTTTTTATAAATTTTTTATAATTTAAATATTCACATTTCAAAATTTAAAAGAAAAAACATTTCATCTTAGAAAAAAAAAATTGTAAAAAAACCAAAAAAAAACTTATATTTGCTCAATTAAAATTTAGAAATTAATAAAGTCCAAATAATTAATATTGATAATTAAGATAAAAAACAATTAATAAACTATAAATACAGGAAAATTTAAAACCTTTTATAAATCTAAAACAACAAATGTAAAAGTGCATAAAAATTCCCAAAAAAACTTCATTTTTTTCTAGCTAAATAAATTTTTTTAATTTTTTTAATAATTCCATTAAAAATAGTACAGAAAGTAATATATACATAGACATATTAAAATTTATTATTATAATTAACAAAAAAATAAATCACACCTCATACATAAGCAGAGAGAAAATAACAGAAAAAAAAACTAACTAATAGTATAATTTAGGTGAAGGTGCAATAAAACAAATTTACTCATAACTATCTAATTATAATAATTAATTAAAAAATCTAAAAACTCAGTTTCATTTATAAATAATTGTCATCAATTAAAATAACACAACAAGAACAACATTAGTCCTATATTTGTAAAATTATTATTATTAATGTTTTTTTTATTATTAAAAAAATAAAACTAACAACAACAATTTCCATAATAAATACATACACATAAAAAATACAATTTTTGTAAATGTTTTCTATTAAAATTTTTATTATTTTTAAGGTAAATATAATTAAATATTTAATATTATAATTAAATAAAACAAGAAATTATTATTAAAGAAAATAAAATCTAAAATTTCTAAATAAAATGATAATAAAATTTATGATTAAATTTAATATTTGTTATTACTTTTATGTAAGGATGTTAAGAGTATATTTGAATCTAGTAACCATATTTCTAGCACCGATTGATGATAAATGATATTGAACCGTGTATATTAGGGAATATACTAAACAATACACTTGGAAAAGGACTATTAAATAGACTAGTAATATGTTTAATCAATAGATCAGTCAATAGATTAGTCAATATACTATATATACCAATAAATTAGTTAAAAGACTAGTTAATGGATTATTAGTAAGACTTGTCTTTCAATAGACTATTCAATAGATAATAGACTGTTCAATAAACTAGATATTAGACAAGACAATAGACTAGAAAATGGACTAGTAAATAGACTAGTTAATAGGCGAGAAAATAGACTAGTTTATATACTGGTCAATAGATTAGTAAGGATTAGTAAAATAATAGACTAGTAAATAGAGTAGTCAATAAACTAGATAATAGACTAGACAACAGAATAGATAATGGACTAGTAAATAGACAATTAAAGAGACTAGTCTATAGACTAGGCAATAGGCTATGTAATAGACTAATAAATAGACTAGTCCATAGACTGGTTAATAGACTAATCAACAGTCTAGTTAATAGACTAATAATAAGATAGTTAATAGACTAGCCAATAGATTAGTTAAAAGACTAGTTAATGTCAATAGACTAGTTAATGGACTAGTCCATAGATAATAGACTATTTAACAGACCAGTCAATAAATAAGATAATAGACTAGACAACAGAATAGATAATTGACTAGTAAATAGACAATTAAAAAGACTAGTCTATTGACTAGGCAGTAGGCTATGTAATAGACTGATTAATAAACTAGTTTATAGACTAGTTAAATACTAGTTAATAGACTAATAATAAGATAGTTAATAGACAAGCCAATAGATTAGTTAAAAGACTAGTTAATGTCAATAGACTAGTCAATTGATAATGGACTGGTTAATAGACTAGCCAATAAACTAGATAATAGACTAGACAACAGAATAGATAATGGACTAGTAAAGACACAAGTAAATAGACTAGTCTAGACTGGGCCATAGGCTATGTAATAGACTAACGTATAGACTAGTTAATAGACTAGTGTATAGACTAGTTAATAGACTAATCCATAGACTAGTTAATATACTAATACATATACTAGTTAATAGCCTGATCAACAGGCTAGTTAATAGACAAGTCAATAGACTAATAATAAGATAGTTAATATACTAGCCAATAGATTAGTTAAAAGTCTAGTTACTGAACTAGTAATAAGACTTGTCAATAGACTAGTCAATAGATAATAGACTGGTTAATAGACTAGTCAATAGATAATATACTGGTTAATAGACTAGTCTAGTTAATAGACTAGTAAATAGACTAATAATAGGATAGGTAATAGACTAGCCAATAGATTAGTTAAAAGACTAGTTAATGTCAATAGACTAGTTAATAGACTAGTCCATAGATAATAGACTGGTTAATAGACTAGTCAGTAAACTAGATAATAGACTAGACAACAGAATAGCTAATGGACTAGTAAACACACAAGTAAATAATAGACAATTAAAGATACTAGTCTATAGACTAATCAATAGACTAGTTAATAGACTAGTTAATATACTAGTCCATAGACTAGTTAATAGACTAATAATAAGATAGTTAATAGACTAGCCAATAGATTAGTTAAAAGACTAGTTCATGTCAATAGATAACAGACTGGTTAATAGACTAGTCAATAAACTAGACAATAGACTAGACAACAGAATTGATAATGGACTAGTAAACACACAAGTAAATAGACTAGTCTAGACTGAGCCATAGGCTATGTAATAGACGAATGTATAGACTAGTTAATAGACTAGTCCATAGACTAGTAAATAACCAAGTCCATAGACTAGTTAATATACTAATACATAGACTAGTTAATAGCCTGATAAACAGGCTAGTTAACAGACAAGTCAATAGACTAATAATAAGATAGTTAATATACTAGCCAATAGATTAGTTAAAAGTCTAGTTACTAGTAATAAGACTTGTCAATAGACTAGTTAATAGACTAGTCAATAGATAATAGACTGGTTAATAGACTAGTCTAGTTAATAGACTAGTAAATAGACTAATAATAGGATAGGTAATAGACTAGCCAATAAATTATTTAAAAGGCTAGTTAATGCCAATAGACTAGTTAATAGACTAGTCCATAGATAATAGACTGGTTAATAGACTAGTCAGTAAACTAGATAATAGACTAGACAACAGAATAGCTAATGGACTAGTAAATAGACAATTAAAGAGACTAGTCTATAGACTAGGCAATAGGCTATGTAATAGACTAATCAATAGTCTAGTTTATAGACTAGTCAATACACTAGTCCATAGACTAGTTAATAGCCTGATCAACAGGCTAGTTAATAGACAAGTCAATAGACTAATAATAAGATAGTTAATATACTAGCCAATAGATCAGTTAAAAGTCTAGTTACTGAACTAGTAATAAGACTTGTCAATAGACTAGTTAATAGACTAATCAATAGATAATAGACTGATTAATAGACTAGGCAATAAACTAAATATTATAGAAGACATTAGACTAGAAAATGGACTAATAAATAGACTAGGTAATAAGCGAGGCAATAGACAAGTTAATAAACTAGTCAATAGATTAGTAAAGACACTTTGAGATAGTGTCAAATTAAAGTAGAAAATTTTAATAGCTTCTGCGTTTAAGACTTTTAAACTTTTCGCCTTTATTGAAATATGTAGGCGTGACAATAGGGATGAAAACTGTATGTTTTAAAATTCCAAGCTTTGTGTGTGTTTCTTCTTTGGTCTTCAATAACTTTTGGCGGAGTTGTCATACATATAGGTTAGATTAATAGGTGGATGTATACATCAAATCCGAAGAAATACACCTAGGCCACTATCGGACCTGCTATGCAATGCCCTTTCATTGAATCATTGAGTTATATAGGCGTTGCAATAGGGGTGGAAACTGTATGCTATAAAAATCTAACATTCCAAGCTTTGTGTGTGTTTCTAAAATAGTCCTACATTCTAAAAATTTAGAGCTATGGATAGGTTAGATGCATTGGTCTTCCGTTCAATAACTTCTGGCGGAGTTGTCATACCTAGGTTATGTTAATAGGATGATGTATACATCAAATCCGAAGAAATACACCTAGGCCACTATCGGACCTGCTATGCACTGCCCTTTCATGGAAAATGTTTGTTGTTTAAAACAAAAATCTTATATAGTGATCAAATAATGTATTATGTCCGATGTTCAAAACCAGTTGCATGGACATAATTCTTAAGAATTTTGCAATCAGTGTTCATGACGAAAGCTTAACAATGGCAAAGAAAGTGCTCCAGAGTTTCACTCTTCTCTTTACATACTCAAAATTTTGTGAAGTTTTGCCCGTAATCATGTGTGTGAACTCAAAATATGTACCATCATACTAACCTTAGACTTGTCCATTTTGAGCAGACTTCTGGCTCTGCTCTTGTCAGGTTCACGTTATAGGATTCCCTCTTTCGTTGACGAATACTTACGAATCGCCTGGTACCCATATGATGTAAAGCTTATCATTGGGGAGTATTCGTTTAAATCTTTCTTACAATCCAATACAGTCTTCGATTTAACCTTATCGTCAGATATCGTTCTAATTTTCTTATGGCTGCAGGTAAATAAATAAAAAAATATCGCGATCAGCACTTATGTATGTGCCTTGTTAATCCTTCATTTTAATTTCCGTTCAAGGAATACACCTAAGTACTTAACTCTGTTGGTCACAAATATCTTCTTACGTAGGAAACAGAGTTCAATTTTATTTTGGCAATTTTTGTCTTTCATGTGACAGATTTGAGTCTTCATCATATATGAATTATACAGGCCTATTCTGAGTAATAAACTCCATGGGAGTTTGTTCCCTCAAACAAACTTCAGGAGAATAATTGTTCATAATTGGCATAACTTTTGTCAAATTTTCAAACTCTAAATAAAGCTCTCTCTTGCCAGCATTTTCTTAGTTTCATTGTTTCAAATGACTCGATATTTTATAAGGAGCTAGATTAGAAAGGCGAATCGATTATATTAGAAGCGCCATGTACATTAGGTATTGGATTTCAGTGTATAAAACTATAAACTCCCCATTCGAGCAGAAAATTTTACTGAAAAAATATCTTTTATTTTGAAAGCTGTTTATAAATCTAAAAAACTATACTTTATCTCCGGGGGTCATTTTGTTTACCAATCGAAAACATTCCAATTAGTGACATTTTTCTATGCGAATTACAAATTAGGACTATCTAATCTGTGGAACATAAGCAAACTTAATACTATTTTTGCATTATGGCATAAAATTAGTTTTTGTAAATACTTTATTAATGCAAAGATCGTCGAAATAAAGCAACACCAAATTAATGGCATATTTTTAATCCGAAGTAGCTTTTTTGTAATATCTCCAACACAATTTCTTAAATAAACAATAATCTATTCGTAATCTATTTTTAATCCAACGTAATTCTTCAAATAAAAACACTTTACACAATTATCATAATTTTGTTTGTTTTCATCCGTTTTTTTAAGTAAAAAAATGGCTATTTTTTATTAAACTTCACACATTCTATTAGACCAATATTTACAGTAGTTACCACTGTAAATACAAAGGCCAAACAACACAGATCTTGGCAAAACAGCACATAAAAATTAGACAAAAACTAATTTTTAATATATTGTTATTAAAACGTCGTTAAAACTAAGAAACTTAACTGCTTAAACAAAAAATATGTAAACAGTTTATTGTTCCTTGGTTTCACGGAGACGACGTACAGCAGAACGTACGGAGGCAGCAGCAGTGGTAGAGTATACCCAGGCACCACCAGCTACGACGCGCTTGCAACGCTTACAGGACCAGATGCCAACACAGGCGCGCTTCATGGAATCCTTTAATAAAAACAAAAGAAAGTTCAAGGTTAGTAAAATCTTTCAATATACGAATAGAAATTATCAAAGAACTTACCTTGCCGCAGAACGAGCAGGTATATTTGCTGTGCTGGGTGATTTCCATTTTCTTGACCATTTTACGTAGGGAAGCACCATAACGGGTACCATATTTACCTACGATTCCAACCTTCTTGGTGCGTTTGGCCTAAAAACATAGTAAAAAAAGAGTCACACATTAGTATATTTTCTTCTTTTTTCATTGCACAAAACAAGTTCATTCTTTGTAAACAATAACACTAAATTTCAATTGTTATTTTTTCTGTTATCATTATCTATTTAGCGAAAATTTTTATCACACTTATTTCTCACATTATTAAATTTTGTTATTTTATCACTTTTATTTAATTTTATTTAGAGATTTTAGTAAAATTTTACGATTTTTTTATTCGTACCATTTTTTAGTTGTTGATCTGTCAAAAATTCAACCGGAAAGAAACGGTTTACCGTGTGAAGTTGGCTGCTGTTCATTTTTTGACACAACAAATACAACACTTCTGATTTATGCTACCACACGCTAGATGGCAGAAGTCGTTTTATTTCGTAGTGTTGCCGCTTTAAACAAACACGATTGTTTTATTAAATTTCTATTAAAATTTATTATACAATTTTGTTGCCTGAGCAAGTTTTGCGGCGTTCAACATACTAACTAGGATTCACGCACATAAAGAAAACAACCCGACGAAAAATAAAACAAACCGTAACAGCTGTTTTATCAAAATAAACATTTTTTTTGGTGTGGTGAGTTATTTTTGTTTACAAATATGTGTTTCTGCACGTGGAAAAGACGCAAAAACTCGTTATCATTATTTACATTTTCAATATGTGTTTATGCACGTGGAAAAAATTCAAAAAAATTGATTTTCATGATTTACATTAAAAAAAATATTTTTGATCAATTAAAATATGTGTATAAATGTGGAAAGGAACAAATCTGATAAAATATAAATATATTTGGGATTATATCGTTACAGAATGCCTTTTAATAAAAAACATTCAAAAAATGTTACTATGGTCATATATATAAAATGATATATAACTGCTATCGGACGATCTTGTGCACGATAAAAACCTATATAGAACTTTAAGTTGGAAGTGTAGAAATCGGATGGCATACATTTTTTTCCGGATTTCATCGTTCTAGGGTGTGTACTACAACAACAAACTTTTTTTTACAAAAAATGTTACTATAGCCGTATATATAAAATGATATATAACTGCTATCGGACGATCTTGTGCACGATAAAAACCTATATAGAACTTTAAGTTGGAAGTGTAGAAATCGGATGGCACACATTTTTTTCCGGATTTCATCGTTCTAGGGTGTGTACTACAACAACAAACTTTTTTTTACAAAAAATGTTATTATGGCCGTATATATAAAATGATATATAAGTGCTATCGGACGATCTTGTGCACGATAAAAACCTATATAGAACTTTAAGTTGGAAGTGTAGAAATCGGATGGCATACATTTTTTTCCGGATTTCATCGTTCTAGGGTGTGTACTACAACAACAAACTTTTTTTTACAAAAAATGTTACTATAGCTGTATATATAAAATGATATATAAGTGCTATCGGACGATCTTGTGCACGATAAAAACCTATATAGAACTTTAAGTTGGAAGTGTAGAAATCGGATGGCATACATTTTTTTCCGAATTTCATCGTTCTAGGGTGTGTACTACAACAACAAACTTTTTTTTACAAAAAATGTTACTATAGCCGTATATATAAAATGATATATAACTGCTATCGGACGATCTTGTGCACGACAAAAACCTATATAGAACTTTAAGTTGGAAGTGTAGAAATCGGATGGCATACATTTTTTTCCGGATTTCATCGTTCTAGGGTGTGTACTACAACAACAAACTTTTTTTTTACAAAAATGTTATTATGGAAGCATATATAAATTGATATATAACTGCTATCGGACGATCTTGTGCACGATAAAAACCTATATAGAACTTTAAGTTGGAAGTGTAGAAATCGGATGACATTCATTTTTTTCCGGATTTCATCGTTCTAGGGTGTGTACTACAACAACAAACTTTTTTTTTACAAAAAATGTTACTATGGCCGTATATATGAAATGATATATAACTGCTATCGAACGATCTTGTGCACGATAAAAACCTATATAGAACTTTAAGTTGGAAGTGTAGAAATCGGATGGCATACATTTTTTTCCGGATTTCATCGTTCTAGGGTGTGTACTACAACAACAAACTTTTTTTTTTACAAAAAATGTTACTATAGCCGTATATATAAAATGATATATAACTGCTATCGGACGATCTTGTGCACGATACAAACCTATATAGAACTTTAAGTTGGAAGTGTAGAAATCGGATGGCATACATTTTTTCCGGATTTCATCGTTCTAGGGTGTGTACTACAACAACAAACTTTTTTTTACAAAAATGTTATTATGGAAGCATATATAAATTGATATATAACTGCTATCGGACGATCTTGTGCACGATAAAAACCTATATAGAACTTTAAGTTGGAAGTGTAGAAATCGGATGACATTCATTTTTTTCCGGATTTCATCGTTCTAGGGTGTGTACTACAACAACAAACTTTTTTTTTACAAAAAATGTTACTATAGCCGTATATTTTATATATATATAAAATGATATATAACTGCTATCGGACGATCTTGTGCACGACAAAAACCTATATAGAACTTTAAGTTGGAAGTGTAGAAATCGGATGGCATACATTTTTTTCCGGATTTCATCGTTCTAGGGTGTGTACTACAACAACAAACTTTTTTTTTACAAAAATGTTATTATGGAAGCATATATAAATTGATATATAACTGCTATCGGACGATCTTGTGCACGATAAAAACCTATATAGAACTTTAAGTTGGAAATGTAGAAATCGGATGACATACATTTTTTTCCAGATTTCATCGTTCTAGGGTGTGTACTACAAAAACAAACTTTTTTTTTCTAGGGTGTGTACTACAACAACAAACTTTTTTTTTACATAGTTTTATTATGGAAATATATAGAAAATTATATATAACTTTAAGTTGGAAGTGTAGAAATCGGATGGCATATATTTTTTTCCTGATTTCATCGTGCTAGGGTGTGTACTACAACAACAAACTTTTTTTTTACAAAAAATTTTATTATGGAAGTATATAGAAAATTATATATAACTGCTATCGGAAGATCTTGTGCACGATAAAAACATATATAGAACTTTAAGTTGGAAGTGTAGAAATCGGATGGCATAATCTGTTTGAGATTTTAGGTAGGGTCAACTGTGGACCGACCCTTACAAAATTCAACAGATAAATTTTGTTTCATATAAAAGTTGTCGTATTTTATAGCTATTTTTTTAAGCCAGTTATGAGTGGTAGTAATTTCCGGAGGTGGACCTTATATCGGGGATAGGTTAAATTATGGACCGATCCCCTTAAATTTGACAAAACGATGTTGACTCCTTGTTTATGTGGAATTTCTTTGCTATATTGGTATTTTTATTACAATTATTGGAGTTAATATCTTTTTCTGAAGGGGAACTTATATGGGGGTAGGGTCAATTTTGAACCATCCCAGAAAGGTTTTGGATCATATAAATCTTGTAAAATAATTTCCTGATACTCATAAAATTTGGCAAAAAGATTTTAGTTCCTATAAAACTTGTTTTTGTCGTTCTTCTTCGCTACACTGGAATATTGAAGCTCAATAATAATCTCCATCAACTAAAAATATTTTGGCAAATATTGGCTAAGATCCTAGTCTATACTTTTATGGATTTTAGACCAATATTTCGGTGTAAAAGTTCCTTGGCTCCCTGATGAGTTTATCGTATACCGATATTGTCCATTTTCAATAACAAACTCAATCTTAGACTGTAATTAGATCCCAGCATATACTTTTATGGATATTAGACCAATATTTCAATGTGTTACAAACGGTGTAAAATGTTCCTTGACTCCCTGATGGGTTGTGTCTTCCAAGTGGTGATTTAGCGATCTTGAAAGTGACGGAACTAATAGGGAATCACATTGTTCGCCGGTCTCTGGTAAGATTTTAGGTTGATAGTCATGCTGCACTTAAAGCATTAATATGTCATAGATGTATTCTTGCATAGTCGTAGAATGAAGAAAAGATCTAAGTATTATTATGTGACCGTTTACAATAAGGCTGTGTTGGGTACCAGGACCCTGCAATATACACAAATGAGGTATCTGGCGAACTGATACGATGAGGCTCGAATCTTGTCCCATATGAACGGAACAAGAAGTTAAAGCCACCCCTTTTTCATTTTTTAGGTTGATCTCCGATGGATTCCGTGACTCTTTCAACCAGTCATGGAATATAGAATGAATTGCACATTATATATTGTCGTTTTAAAAATACTTGATTCTAATGAAACCGGGATTATTATTGGGGTAGATGGTGTACACCAAGAACACTTGCACTGGCTATAAAACATTATTAAAATACATAAATTTTTAGCACAAAATAAATATGTCTAGTAATTTGTTTTTGTTTACGTTTTTACAGAAACTCACCACACAACAATCAAAAACAGCTGTTAGGGTTTGCTGTTTTATCAAAAGGTTGTTTTATTAACGGGTATCTAGGATTCTATAGCTGAAACGAAAAGTCGACTTTTTTCATTTAGTTAAAAGTCGACTTTTCGACTTTTTTCCTTTTATGAAAAGTCGATTTTTCGACTTTTCGACTTTTTTCATTTAATTAAAAGTCGACTTTTAGACTATAAGTATTTTATAAATAGTCGACTTTTCGACTTTTTCCGACTTTTTTCGACTTTTTCCGACTTTATTCGATTTTTTTCGACTTCTTGACTATTTTCGACTTTTATTCGACTATTTGTTGACTTTTTTCGAGTTTTTCCGACTATTTTAGAGTTTTTGACTCTTTTTTCCGCTTTTTTAAAATTTTCGACTATTTTTGACATTTTTCTACAATTTTTGAGTTTTCAACTTTTTCCGACTTTTCGACTTTCTTCGACTTTTTTCGACTTTATTCGACTTTTTTCGACTTATCGACTTTTTTCGACTTTTTTCGACTTTCAGACTTTCGACTTTTATTAACAAAATCGACTTTTCGACTGTTTTCACAGACGATAGTCGAGTTATCGACTTTTTTGGAACAAAATAGTCGACTTCGACTTTTCCACTTTTTTCGACAAAAAGTCGATTGTTCGATTATTCGAAAGTCGATTTATAGAACCCTAATACAAACTCGTAGATTCCTTAAGGTGGAAGTAAACAACTCGAACAATATAGGCTTCTGTCGAAAGTTAAAATAGTATGTTTTCATTTAACTAGTTACATATTGTAGTTTGCAACGGGTCTGCCGCGAAAATTTCAGCAACTTTCAACTTTTGACGCGTCGGCAGCTGATCAGGGTTGTACTTTGTTTTGTGTAGATTA